CTGCTCGCAGCTCCACGGGGACGCGCCCGATCGTATCCCATTACTTTTTTGAACATCACTGTTTTAAGTGATGTTCCAACTCATATAGGGCCAAAGTCCTGCACTTCTTCCATTAGCAGCGCACACTGAGACGCAGATTACTGCTTGCGCAGCGTGGCTTTGGGAAGTCTTAACATATAGAGAAGAGCCAAAGGAAAACATGCGTCCCACTTTGTAGACAAGAAAACACAAAATCGTTGATCGGAGAAACTTCCCCAGGCAGACAAGAAAAACTAAACGGTTCCGAGCTGTGCTACGTGCCGTAACAATGAGCGCAGCATAAAAAGACCAGCTAAGCTAATGAACCTGTACCAGTTAACAAGCTACCGCCACCCCGCCGCCAGCCACCACGTCACAAAAAGACATTTCAGATAAAAAAAAAATCTTACATAATCTAATTGTGGTTGCCAGACCAACAAAATTAGCAATAAACTTACCTTCTTGAATGAATTTCAAGTAATCATAGCAGTCATCTGTCACTGGAAGTCGAACCCATTTCTGGACTCCCTTATACTCCACTTGCACCAGCATTTCTTTCGACACAAAAAAGGATGAAAGTTAAGCTTGGACGTTACAGACATCTGCACGTTACAAAAATGTGAAAAGAAGTATTACTTAAAAGAAAACGCTCCCTCAAAAGACAACTGCGTGAACTCAATCCAAACTAGCGTGTAGGCCTAGCTATGAGCAGAGAAAGTTTCCCGGTCGGCTAGCAGGTGGCTTTATACATAATAGCTTAGCTAGTAGTCTAGCTGAACATTAGTAGTGTGCCATGCCAGCTTTTTTAATTACACCATTTTAGGCTATACATACAGACACTTCGACTATGGGGTAAAATAACAGCCAGTACTGACCAACTATAACATTAAAATTCAAATTTATCCGTCGGTTGAAGTTTGGAAGATGGCGGGATATTTAGTTTTCTGAACTGTAAAAATGAATGCAAAAAAAACTCGATTACTTTTATTAAATTTGTCAAGATCAATAAAAAAAGGAATATTTTCATCAAAATACTGTTTTTGTCTGGACATTTATCTTACCTTTTGGGAAAAATGTGTCCTCACACTTGCTACGCACTGGAAAAGAAGATGGCGTCTCCTTCAACCAAAAAAACTTACCGTTACGTGAGGGCGTGGCTTAAATTAAACACCAACCAGTTAACGCTCCGATCTAACAACGTAAATATATCACAAGTTACACTGGGAATGTTATTTTACTGCTGTGTATTGTTAATACAACACCCACACTATTCCTAAGATTTTAACACTGGCATTTTTGCTGTGTGGGTGAGTTTGGTAACTGTATTAAAAGATATCTAGAATCATTCTTATTCTCCTGTATTAATGAGGAGAAATGTGCTGCTCTTGCTTTACAAAGGATCCTCTTATACAGCAGTAAACTATTTTTCAAGACTAGGTAGGATTCCCGTAGGCATGTAGAATGCTATTTTCTCTTTGATTTCCCAGCATTTTGCTTCACAGTGCACAGCTCTCCATTAAACCAGGGGGACAGCTTTCTAGTTTTTAAATTTTTCTTTTTCATAGGTGCTGCATTGTCTAAGGCAGTACGCAGAGAACTAGAAACCCCATCAACAAAATCATCAACCTGTTAAAGGGAATAGGCTAAACCTTTGCCCCTCTGCAGAATTGCTCAGTGACACAGAGGAGGGAAAGTGAAATAGATTCTTAAGAATTTATAACTACACTATCTGATAATGATCTGCTAAAGTGAAACCTTCTTTTGGGGGAGGAGAGCTCTGTTAAAGTAATCCTGAGGGTTGTTAAAAAGTTGTCAGAGAGGACAGCGTTGTGAGGAAATATTCTTATTTCTTCACATTCTATGCCATAGGTCAGCACAAGGTCCAAAGTATAAAGATGAGAATGGGTGGGACTATTCACACTTTGAACAAAGCCAATAGTTTCTAAGATAGCATTAAAAGCTGCACTTAGGCTATCACCTTTAATGTCAACATGGATGTTAAAATCTCCCACTATGATGACCCTGTCAGTATTCAACATCAAAGCGCCAAACAACTCTGAAAACTCATCTAAATTTTAGGAAAAAGGACCTGGTGGACGATACAAGGTTACAAAAAGGGGTTTTGTTGCTTTGCAATATGGATGGGTGAAACTAAGGTTTAAATGTTAAAAAGTTTTTTATTTATTAACTGACTTTGGAGTAATTAGTACTTTTTCACGACTATTAGGCGCATATAAACGTCTTTTTTTCCCCTTAAAATGTGCGGCGCGGCCTTTGGTGCGGTGCGCCCTATGTGTGTTGTTACTGCGGACTTTTGAGACCACCTCATTGAGGAGATGATGAAAGAGTGGCTGAATGTAAGGAGACCAGGTGTTTTTTTTTCCACTCATCACCATTGCTGTTAATCTGTGACTCCATGCGTGCCCATCTCACAGCTGATGTGAAAAACATGGTGACATCGGTGTGAACCGGACGCAGCAGGTGCAGCAGAAGCAGCGAGTTTACATGCAAAGTCAATGGCTGACGCCAAAAAAGGTGAATTAAATGAACGCTGTGCTTGCCGTTATCCCGGGGGGTCTGACAAAGGAACTTCAACCGCTCGACATCGGTGTGAACCGGCAGTTCAAAGTAAGGCGGAGACGCTCAGACCCCCACATACCAGCGGTGCGCCGACAGTAGGAATCCCTTCAACAGCAGCCTCTGGGCCGGGTCGCCTCCGGGTTCACCACGGGGGCTGGCAGGTGTTTTTCATCTAATTAATCTAAATCTTGCAGCTATATTTGCTGTGATCAGTGGGAATAAAGTAGTTTTAATTTGTTTTTAAGTGAGAAAGTCCACCTGAAAACGTAATCATTGCAGTCAGTTCATCCAGATTATCATCCTGCCTATACTATTTCTGTCGGAGACGCTCAGACCCCCACATACCAGCGGTGCGCCGACAGTAGGAATCCCTTCAACAGCAGGCTCAGGGCTGGGTCACCTCTGGGTTCACCGCGGCGGCTGGCAGGTGTTTTTCATCTAAATAATCTAAACTGCAGGCACCAGGATAATAAAAGCTAACATATTCTGTCGGAAGGTTTCAGGATTTTAAGTTAATTTATGCGTCAATAAACTGTTTCAGAGGAGTGATCACAGCGCTCTGTCATCAGCGATGTGTCTGTGTTTGATTAATACTTTGTAATAAATACATGAATAAAGCACAAACATACTCAGTTTTGCTCCCGCTGTATTTTTAAATACGCAGTAGAGGTATTTAAACGTAGTAGAGGACATGTACCTGTATATAAAAAAAACGCGCCCTATAGTCCGGTGCGCCTTATGTGTGTGTTAAATACAGAAATGGCACACATAACTGAGACTGCGCCTTTTTTGTACGGTGCGCCTTATGGTCATGAAAATACGGTAAGTCAGACTTAAAGAGTGTGGCTACTCCTGCTCCTCACCCAAAATTTCTGGGTATGTGAAAAAATGTAAATAACTAAAGGGAGTTGCCTCTTTTATGCTCACATAATCCTTTTGTTGCAGCCAACTTTCTGTAAGGCAACACAAATCAATGTGATTATCACAAATCAAGCCATTCACTAGCAGACTTTTTAAAATAAAGAGATCTTATGCTAAATAAACCACATTTCATCGTTTTAACTTTTTCCCCATTTGGAGTTATTTTAATTTTCATTAGATTATCATGATTTACTCCTTTGGGAATCTTTTCTAGTTTATTTGGTCGCAGGCAAGTCACTGTCTGGATGGAGTAATGGGTGGGTAACAGTAGAAAAGCTGCAGAGACGTGTGTTACACTACGACTCCACTTCCTGGTCTGCACCCTGGTCAGTGTTTTGGAGGACTAATAAATGTGGCCAGATTCCTAGAAAGAAGAGCTGCACCATCCAAAGTGGGATGGATGCCGTCCCTAACATCTGTGGGGCGATGCTGAGGATGTTTTATGGGTCTGTTGTTGCTACCACGCTCCTCTTTGCTGTCACATGCTGGGGCAGTGGGCTGAGTGTCGCTGACAACAACAGACTGAACAAATTGATCAGGAGGGCCGGTGATGTTGTGGGGGAGGAGTTGGACACACTGACGACCGTGGCAAAGAGGAGGATGCTGTCCTGGCTTCACTCCATCTAATACCCCATTTACACTACCCTTGAAAAACCGATCCTAGCTTGGATTAGTTAATCAGGCCGAGCTTGGTTCTTCTCTTTCGAGCCCACCTCTGGAACTGGTCTGCAGTTAGCGCGGTCCAGGTGTGTCTAGCTCGGTTCAGTTCAGTTTGCTTTCCATTTACACACGATAAGTTATCTCAGTTACTGAGCTTGGACCGGTTTTGGCACGGTTTTTCAAGGGTAGTGTAAATGGGGTATTAGACAATGACTCACATCCTCTCCATGACACACTGGTCAAGCAGACGAGCTCCTTCAGTAGAAGACTCCTTTTACCCAGATGCACCACAGAGCGCCAGAGGAAATCATTCCTGCCTGTGGTTTTTTGCACGTCACTATTACTTTATCTGGATTTATATATATATATATATATATATATATATATATATATATATACTGCTAATAAGAAACCTTTTTTCCACTTTATGTCTTCAAGGGATTAACAGTTTTATGATCAAAACATGTTTTTGACCCCTATTTTTAAATACACATTATAAAAAAATTTATTCTCTTTCTTTTTTTCCTATTCTTCTCTCAGATTTTTGTCTTCAACATGGTCCATATTCTGCAAAGGTTATCTTTGAAACTTCTGTTTAAAGAGGTTGTAATTGCTGAAATCATGTTTGGCTTCTTTCTTCTGATCTACACAAGCGAAGGTAACTTCTATATGGAAATTCAACAAAAACACTGACAGATTGTAGAAAATAGTTAAAATCAATAAGCACTGTGAAAAGAAATATATATGTTTATGAAAATAACAATAAAAATTATTTTCCAGGTCGGTCGCTGCAGAATAGTCAGCCTCAGCTTGTTACAGCCATGGTTGGTGAGGATGTTGTGTTGCCGTGTCACTTGGAGGCTTCCCTGAACACTGATGAGTTAGCAGTGGAGTGGGGAAGACTTGACCTAAATCCCAGATTTGTGTATCTGTGGTTTGACGGGAGTGAATATAAAGATGACCAAAACATCGCCTACAAAGGAAGAACATCGCTGTTCACCGACAGACTGAAAGATGGAGACGTTTCACTGAGACTGACTGGTGTAAAACACTCTGACAATGGAAGATTCAGATGCTACGATCCAAAAGAGATTGAAGAACATTTTGTTGACCTTTTTATTGGTAAGTAAATGCAATATGTAACAGAAACCTCAGAAAATATTTTTCTACAGCTGCTGATTGTGAATGTGGTAAAGCTGGTTTACAAAGAATTGACAAAAGTCTTCCTAAATGAGCATAGGCCTAAATATTTGTTGATATTAATAAAAAAAAAAAAAACATTCTATTTTAGAAGTTGGAGGATACACTGTGTTATAGAAAAAATGGCAGTTTTTTTCAGAGTTTTTTTCAAGGTTTTTCAGAGTTGCCTAAAATGTGCTTAAATATAGCCAAGGTTTGTTTTCATGAAGTCATCAGTCTGAAATTTAGCTTTTAAGGTTTAAACTCTAAATGAAGTAGTGGTTGGATTGTTCAGAAATATGATTTTGGATATTGTATGGATATTTTCTCCTGAACTGCTTGGCGACCCATTTAAAACACGGGCAGATCAGTGACAGTCCTGATAGTTTTGGCATTTATTTCACAAACTAGACAACCATTACGAAAAAAAAAACGTACTCATTGAGAGGTTTTACTTCATATTAGTTCAGTTGTTAGTCATGCGAAATGTGTTTTATTTGTTTTTTATTTAGTGCCTGTTTCAATCAAATTCATCTTACATGAGCAAAGACGAGTAGAGCAACCTAAACATCATTCTTTTCCTCCATGCTTTACTAACTATGAAAAAGCTAGCATGATCAGCTAAATTCGCTCATTTCAACCCCTTGCGTCACTGTTGCTCTTTGAAATGTTGCCAATTGTTATCAGTGGTATTGTCCAAACTCTCTTACGTAGACGCCCATGGCCTTTCTTACTTGCAAACTCTTGTTTCCTCTCTCTTATTTGAGCACTATTATTTTCCGGTAACCATTCCGTACAATGAAATTATAGCCTTAAATAGCATGTTTTTTGTCAGTTTTTCTTTAAGTCAATTTTTAACTACTATAGTCCTCCCTTAAAATGGACTTAAAAACGGTAAACCAAATTAGCCTAAATTACAAGAAATTCTCTTACTATTACGAATAATTGTTTTACTAAAGTGAAAAATATAAACATATAAAACAAAAAACGTGGTATTTATCCTTTTTGGCAAGGGCGCTGCCATCTTGTAGTGGTGATGTCGGTTGGGTAGTTAGCAGCTGAATACATTGGTAATATCAGCTATACCTCACAACCGTAAAACACTCAAGAAATTTGGTATGATGGAAGATGAAGCTGAAAGGAGACTAGAACAGCTAAATCTCATTGCTTACTCTTTTGAGCCCATTCATCATGTTACTGAATAAGGAGAAAAAAGGCAGATGAGTTAATGTTCGGACTATAAATGCAACAAGTTTTTTTTTTTTATATAATTACTGATAAAAGTGAGACACAATCTCCTATATAAAGTCAATTTGTAATCCATCGCATTTCCACTATAACTGATCATGTCAGACTGTAGTTCTGCCCTGGCTAACTATTTGACAGACCTAAAGTGGGTTGCAAGCCTTGCACATTTAGCCAGCCTGTTTGAAAGACTAAATAGCTCAGACTCTCTCAACAAGGCCCAAACTCTCTGATAACGTCACAACATTTAAGAGAAAGCTGAAGCAGTAGAATGTGTGAGTGGATGGGGAAGGGTTAATATTTTCCCAGAGCTGGAGGATTTTACGGGGAGTTACAAAATAAATATACAAACTATGAAATGTTTGTAGGTGAAAGTAGTGTAAAGCCCTATGGTCAAGTCTCCTGACTTGACCATAGGGCTTTACACTACATTCATTTATTGCATCTATTAGACCTTATCTGGCTACAATGCAGTGGACTTAAGAACTTTGTTCTCATTCATGCAAGAAATACAATTTCTGGGTTATCAGCTTTAACCATCATTTGTTCTTTTCTTCTAGTTCCTGAGAAATGATGGGTATTTATTCTATGCAAAATAAAGAAAACACAAACATAACATTTTTTTATTTAATAATAATAGTAGTTAGGATCTACAGATCATGGTGCTGATCACTGGCGTAACTTTCTGAAGGACTGGTGTGGACATGTCCCCCTCAATCATTTCTGCTTTTACCCCCCTGATACTTCAGCCAACAGTAACTGGGGTTGGGTGCAGCTGTCTGTGTTCAGAGCGTTTTCATTCTGTGTTTCTTCCTCCCTCTCCCTCTGTTCTCGAGTCCCTCCTCTCAGTGAAATATCATCGGATCTGTCGCTTTGGGACAATACATTATTTGGGGTTGCTATTCACTGCTTACAGAGTAGCAATGTGGAGGAGGGGAGACACAGCAGCACTCAATAAATTTTAACTGGCAGCTATTTCGATATATGTTTCAGTAAAGGTTAGGAGATTGGTTGGTTAAAAAAATTAGAGATGCCACCAAAAAATCTGTTTGTTTTTAAGCAGAGCAGAGACACAATTAGTGATACCTGCAGATTTAAAGGTGAAACAGATTTACTAGGATATGTAACATGCAGTAAAATATATCCCAAAGTTTACCAGAAATAATACGCAATGTTAGGATAAAATTCAACATATCTTTTTTTCTTTTGTAGTTCAACAAGAGTCAGAAATAGCTATGCCAGCCAACCCAGATACAGCCAGACTCACAGGACACAGACTGAAAATTTGTCCCAATGACATATGGGACAAATTTCTAAATTAGATTCTGCTGCTTGTGAAGGAGAATATTCACTGATGCAGCATAAAGGGAAGCCATGCATGTATGGATGCACAGAATTAAAGTTGTGTCATTACTAGAGATGAATAATATATTGATGTTGGCATCGGTATCGGCTGTTATTTGTCGTTTTTTATACATGAATGTTTTTTAACCCCTTTATAAATAATGCACTAAAGACAGGCATCTGTCCATAACTATAAATATTGGTGTACTGTGGTACTCTTGTGTTCTCAACAATAGGAAGCATTCAATAAATACATGTTTGAGCTCATTTTTGGAAAATATAAACCCTTTTGAAAGCGTTCGGGTTGAGTAGCTGTAGGTCCATCAGCCACTATCCTTAGAGCAGCCCCAGCAATGTTTATCACAAAGTTACACCCTTGGTGATCACTGAACAGCTACTCTTATATATACATCTTGCTAGATGATTAAAAACTACCTATTAAGTCACACTTCTATATAAGGTACTGCTCAAATGATGAGTATATTCAAATTTAAACTTTAAATCACGGTATTTGGCTAAGGAAAATAAAACACAATAGCAATCATTTTTTAGATGGAAAATCTCAACGCAGTCTTCATCCCTATTTCCTGTATTCCAGGTTCAGTCTCCTCACCCAGTATCAGTTTAGCAGGACTGGACAACAGCAGCCTTGGAGTGATGTTAGACTGCAGCTCTGCAGTCTGGTATCCAGAACCTGAGATTATATGGCTGGATGGGGAGGGAAACATCATGTCTGCTGGATCTACAGAGAAAACCAAAGGTCCTGATGGCCTTTATAGTGTCAGCAGCAGAGTGACCGTGGAGAAAAGACACAACAACAACATCACCTGCAGAGTCCAAAAGAAAGACATCAACCAGACCAGAGAGAAACACATTTATATTCAAGGTAAACATACAGTATATGACTGCATGTCATAAAAACATGCAGTCATTTTTCATGAAATAGTTTTCTCCCTATCTGGTTTTCAGATTATGTCTTTGGTGTCCGGTTTCCTTGCATTATGCCTCTTCCTCTCTCTTTAAATGCATTTTTGGGTCTCAGTTGTTCTCTGGTATTGATTATTTTCATCTGGAAATGGCGACAAACTAAAATCTGTAAGTTCAATTGACTTTAAATATTTTGGAAAATAACAGGTGCTTAACAATTTTTTTCTTTTTTATTTACCTTCACCTACAAAATCAAAACCCTAATCTGATTTTATTTTTATTCCTGCAGCAATGAAGAACCTAAAAGACAAAGTGAATAAAGAGAAACAGCATCTGATGACAGAAGGAAAAGACTTTGTGGCTAAGAAAATGTCAGATCTTGAAGAGTACTCAAGAAAGAGAAACCAGGATCAGAGAATCATTGATCAGCAGATTGAGGCATTAATGATGATGTCAGAGGAACTGAAGGAGCAGAAAGAACGACTGACTAATCAAAAAGAGGAGGCAAAAGAAATAGTTGAGGAAAATGAGAAGAAGCTTAAGGCTGTTGATGATGGAGTATTTAACAGGAGAGAGAACAATACGGAAAAGATGGCCCAAAGATACTTTAAACTGAAAGAGATCATATCAGAGAGCAATGAGAGACTGCATGGGAGAAGGAACGCTCATCAACATGTGGAACTGATGACAGAAAAACTGAGAGAGAAAACAAGTCAGGAGGTTAAAAAGCTAAAGGAGAGAAAACATGAAATAGAGAATCATGTAGTGGAATTAGAAAAACATCTTAGACATCTTACAGATATGTGATTTCCCTGCTGAGACAGAAATTAATTAACTTGGGATAGTTTTCCACATTGTGTGAGAAAACAAACCTGTCCCGACAGTCCGCAATGGTTTGCGTATGAATGAAGACATAAATTTGTATATAAATGGAAATGATATATAAATAAAGCACTACACATTCAAAATGTATTGTTTAAAAAAAATGCAAAAACTGTTTCTCTTCAGAAAATTAGGAAGTTGTGTAATTTAATACTTTTTCTAAGTTAAATGTTTCAACTTATTTTTGTGTGGAAATTCCCTTAAACAAGAACAATATATATCTGAATACTGGGCTACATTATACAAGAGTCCATGGTGGGTATTCCGTACAGGTGGTTTATTAAACTCTGAGTCCAGCACAGCTTATATCGCTTACTTTTCTTTACCTTGAATTAAGCAATTGCACAAGTCCTTTAAAAACCACTAAATAACTGAGCATGTTGTTTCTCTGAAAACAAAACTTCCCAAATTAACAAATATTTAAATGCAGGTTGGCATGAAATAATCATTTATCTGTTTTTACATTTGAAGTATGAATCCTAGATTAAAGAGTGGTGTGCAAAAAAGATTGTATGCTATAAATCTTAGCACTCTGATAGAGAAGACATAATTATAAAATACATAATACATAATTCCAAGCTTCTAAGATAAGTAACATATTTAAACCTTAGCAGAAAATTGTGTTTCACACTGTTTAAAAACTCTATTCATTCATCACACGAAAAAGTTTGCATTTTTATTAAACATTTAGTTTACTAGAGGAGAAGCATGAAACTGTTCTACCACAGAAAGCTACCCGACTTTATTATGGGATCCATTCCTGAGCTATTTACATTATTTTACAAATATATTTTACAGTGGCATTATTTATAAAAACAGGATTTACAGCACCAAAGTGGGAATCCTTCAACCTCTAAAAGCACCAATAGATTTTTGAAGTGAGCACACGCAGCTGTTATGTTTGGCTTAAGAATATAATTGATTTAAATTAAATTGTGGGTTTCTTAGAGAAAACCTGCCACTGAATAGATCATCTCCATTCTGCCCATCTCTTCTGGGATCACACAAGAATCACACAATTACTATTGACTTCTGAGTGTCCTTTGCATAGATTTTGGAATATTATTCTACAACACTATTTTTTTTTTTTCTTTTTTAAATCAATGACACAATGGTTGGTGATAATGGCAGCTGTTAATCCAGATGTTTTCTACAAAGACCAGTCTATCTGCTATGTCAAGTTTAAGAGGATTTAAACATATGGGGGAAATCTCGATTGGTCATCAGAAAATTATCCATGCATCCATTTTCCGTAATGCTTATCCCAAGGAGGGTCATGAGGGTTGCTGGTGCCTATCTCCAGCTGTCTACGGGGGAGAGACGGGGTACATACATCATAAAAATTAAACAGTTACAAAATAAAAATATAAAAATAATAAAATATTTTTTATTTACACACATTAACAGATGCACCATGTATTTTGCTTTGCACAGAGCACAACCAATTATAATGACTTATATTCACAAACAAAAATTGGGTTCTTTGTCAGCTTGAAGATCAAGACAATATGGTGAAAAAAAAGATACCTGCTAGAAGTTAGTGGTAACCCAACAGTTGTTTTACCGTGTCTTTAACTTATTATACTTATTTAAAACCAAGTAAGTTCTTGTCAGAAGTACTTAAACTTTACTTAATACAACACTAAGTAGGCATTATCACTGCTCTATTACTTTGACAACCATGCAATAGTTTTACAAAACGACACTGAGGATCTGAAGCTTAATGCCTGCCTGCCTACGAAAGACTGTAGGGGAAGGAACCAGAACTAAATTAAAACAGTTGTTTTGAGAGAATATTTACTTCATATACTTCAAATTAGCATTTATATATCATGAATCATATATATTGTGAGAATACCAGGGGAAGGCTTCTTAGATGTATTTAAGGAAGGCTGAAAAATTGTAAAACGGACCTAATGGGTTCCATGATATATCTAAAGGTTTGAAAACTTACTTTTTAATCATCTGCAATATACAAACCACATTTGATGACTTGTTTTATAGTTTTTATTGCAGCTTGAAACAAAAAAAGGATTAGTCTCTTCTATTCTAGCCTCTCCAGTAAAGAGAAGGCCTTAATAGAGATATTGTGGTTTGACGTGGCCTCATAATTTTCTATATCTATATGGGATTCTTCTTCTTAGAATCATGACCAAAATAAAGTCAATGAAAATAAAAGATATTTGGATTCCCATTAATGTGATGTTATAGCATCAATTATAGTCATGGGGAAAAGGTTCCTTTAAGGACATGAATTGAAAGAAGAAAAATATGAAATGTGAATCAGTGGATGTGATATGGGCTTTTAAAATCATATGAATATTTTTGTTGTTCCCTTAAGTGCCTAAGTAAGCTTTAAAGTCTAAGGTGTTAAAGTATTTTTTATTTTATTTTTGCCAATATTTTGGCTAACATTTAATTTTGGCCTGACATTTTTAATTGGCATTAACATAGACTTAGACAACTTTTATTGTCATTTTGTATACACAGTTTTGTACAGCTTTCACATTTCCCTTCTATAAAGTGCAGCAGTGATTTAAAACTTAAAGGTGGAGACCAAATTCATTAAAACACAAGGACAATGTAATCATAATATAAAAAACAAATGTCATGCTCACCACTGTAGGAGTGGAAGCAGACTCCATGAACCACTTTCTTAGTATATGATGATGATGATGATGATGATGATGATGATGATGATGATGATGATGATGATGAACTTCAATGTCCCGAAGAAATGTTGTCTCTGACTGCTGCATTGTCCATACTATATGTCATACAACATTCACACATAACTGCTATCATTGCACTGCTACGGAATTCAATTATCAGAAAAATACGTACATAAATGAAGCATGATACATTACATTTACAATAAAAATGCATAACAAAATAAAAATATATATAAAGTCTCTACTATAAAGGGCCTGTAAAAAGATAAATAAATACATAAAAGAAGCATGTCAGTTTAGTCTAAAAATGTTGATACCATTCTAAGATGTCGACCTGAAGAAAGAAACTGATCCTCTGAATCAGTGTGCAGTTTCTTTTTTCACATCTCTGTTACAAATTTCAATCAGTATTATTTTTGTTTAATTGTTTTTTGGTCATACTAAATAAAAACAGAGGGTTTCTTGGTTTTTATTAAGGTAAGGCTGAATTATAAAAACAAATATATATATTTTTATATGATTTTCTCATAAGAGCATGTGAAGTTTAACTTTACATTCACATTTCTTATTTTTAGAATATGTTACACTTACAGTATATTAATCTCAGAGTTCCCATACTTTGCCACCATAGTTAGAACTGAAGAAGTCAGAAAAAACATCTAGTAAACATCACGTTCAGTTGCCTAAACTGAACTTTTCAAGTTTCAAGTTCACTTCAAGCTGGACCATGACCTGGATGAATGAGAATCTTCAGAGATATGTTCCTTTCAAGATAAAATTTGATTTAAAACTGAGTTTACAGCAGTTTACAACAATTTAATCTGCGTAAAAAAAGAAGGAAAAAGTTACAAGAAATACTTTCATGTCTACGTTAATACATTTTGTTGATTCTACTTTCATAAAAACTTTAGTTTGAAGTTGTTGCAAAGATAACAAGAACAATGTGTAGAAACATAACACAATTTAAAATGTTATTTTACAGCAGAAACAACCTGGGCTAAACAAACAGAAACAAATGGGCCCATTTCATTAGTAAAAACAAAAGATCACTTAAAATACATACAAAAATAAAAAAATAAAAAATCAATTATCAAATCATAGGTTTTCTTGAATTTTGAAATAGAAGATTTTGAGTGAATTGCATTTAGAAAAAACAGCTGCTATTGGCTACTATGAAATATAGTCTTTCATATCAAGAACTGTGCTGTAATTTTTATCAGACTGCAAATTGTGTGTTCAAAATAGAAACTAACCATCACCAAACATCATTATCATATTTTTAAAGAACATGAATAGTTAAACAGTCCAAAAGTGAGCTGATATCAGCAGAGTAATTTTTTTTTTTTCCTGACCATAATCCCTGGCATTTATTTTATGCCACTTTTACAGAATCAGCCTCCTAACCTCAATGATCAGACGGCTTCCTCCTCTGGCATACATGGAATGTCGCTCTCTGTGGTTCCTTCCTCCTCTGATGAGAGAAAACACAGATACATTTTGGTTTCCTCTCATCAAATTTCATTATAAATTATTTAAAAAAACTATGAAGAAAAACATTATCAGACAACAACAGCAGCTATATTTCTATGCCGTTTAAACATGACCTTTTCAGCTATCTCTATAATTGGTTAAAGGCTGGGGTTTTCTTATAAAAGTATAACTAAGAAGATAAAATTAATCTCCTTTGAGGTTCACAAGAGCATATCTAAAAATAAAATGAAATACAATAGAGCAGAATACCACCCTGTTATAACAAAGGAAATAGCGTGTTCAGTTTATAGTGTTTAAACATTTGAAACAAAACATCCAGTCGCTTTCAACTAATCATCCGCAAACACTAAAGTATAACACTTAACAATAAAAGTCATAAGATCTCTAGTCATAACATCCCTCCAGAAAAAGCTAAAGGAACTTTCACCATCTTAACCAATATATAATGTCAATGATTTATCATTCTAATGGTAATGATATATTCAATGATAGATGACTTTTGAGAGATGAACAAAGGATTCTGAAAGAATACTTCCCTGGAGTTTTGCTATTTGTATTATTAATTTGCAAAGTGCACCAACTGTTTTTCAAATGTCGAGGCTGATTTAAGAAATGTATCAAAATTTAAAAATGTCAGCAATGAAAAAACTGTAATATAAATATGGCTGCATATTTTACAATAATTTCTATACAATATTAAATTACTGACCTGCTTTAGCTTTGTTGGGATCTTCTGTTTTTATCCGAGGGAGCAAAAGGTAT